AAAAGTTCAAAGTTTGTGATGATCATTTCATGGTTTCAAAGCCAACCAAGCTTGTAGCTACTTGAACGTTATATTGGCTGATCAGATTAAAACATGTCAACTAAGTGTTGTTGCTCATGACAAACATTGAAGATTCTCACGCAAATATATGTAATGTTTTTATGAGCAACCGTTCATCGTTAGTTGCAAGCGACGGTACAACATTGATACCATCAACATTTTTCCGACTGTGTCCAAATGTCCAACGATCATTCAAAGATGTTATAAATTCCTAAAGTTCGTTTATAGTAAACCCGCTCGGTACTCACAATGATTTCATGTAGAAATACATGCAGTTTAATACGAGGAAATGAACTGATTCTAAAATATGTAAATTTAAAGCATTGACTTACAGTATAAAGCGATGTGAAGACAAGGTAACTTTTATTGCTATTTGCTAAATCTATAAATAAAGCCAAGTTAACATTTTGCATATCTGTGACTGCATGTATATATATTTTTTATAGTATAAAAATGAAATTGTAATACTATGATATAAATTAAATACATTTCTGTTTATTGGTATTTACTGTCTACTATTTACTGTTTATTGGTATTTACTGTCTAGTAAATATACTTCTTATTCTAGCAAGTGCACAGACTTCCATGACTTTTAATGCATCGCGGTCAAATCCAAGCGTGCCCAACCCCGGACCATTTTCCTGTAAAGCATGTCCGCGGGGCTTGGGCATTTGAACTCAAACCTTTGCCTGGGGTGGGGCATTTGAAATTAAGGGTTTGGAAGTTTTGCAATCATCGAGTACTTGCGCTTATGCAAAAAAAACAATGGACATGGACTTCTGTGTAGTATTCTGTGAGTGAGACATTGACTGCATGATATCTCTTTTCCCATGGTAGGGAATTTAACCAAATAATTTAATGAAAAATCAAATGCCCCACATATGCCTGACCATGCATGGGCTGCGGCTTAACTTTCATTTGTGAAAAATTAAAAGTAATGGTCTTTTATTTTCTTCATACAATTTTGAATCAAAAATATGTTGTGCAACCACAACTATACTGCTGATACTTCAATTTTGCTTTATATAGTGGTTTGATTAGCAAGGCGAGGGGTCACTGCATGCATGTATTTCTAGTTATTAACACTGATGAAGATCCGGGCTTACGGATCGAAAGCTTTGCAGTGATAAATTTATGTGGTGTTTCCAGAAAACAAAACTAATATAAAGTACATTTAATTTAGCCATGAAATAGCATGCAAAGCATTGCTCTTTTAAAAGGCCATACTATGGTCATAATTGGCAGTTGCCCGACCTGTTGATGCCACGTCTCCGTGTCAATTACTATACAGAGTGTATAAAAAAAACTGAACAGATTTGAAATTGTTCTCAATTTTGCATAACAGCTATTAGTATCCAGTTTTATATATATATATATATATATATATATATATATATATATATATATATATATATATATATATATATATATATATATATATATATATATATATATATATATATATACTGTAAATATATATATATACTGTAAATTAAAAAGGGCTGAAACGACCCCAAAAATGGGGCCAAAACGCTGACCGCAAAATAGATCTTTTTGGGGGGTCAAAATGGCACCTATAACAATGCGGCCCCTAAGGGGTGATTTGGCCCTTCCAGTGTAAGGGCTGTTTCAGCTTTTAGTAGGAGCTGTTTTGGCAAAAGCAGGGGCTATTTTAACTTTCAATAGGGGCCAATTCAGAAAATTAGGGGGCTATTTTGGCATTTCAAGGAGTTAATTTGGCTCCCATTTGTGGTCATAATGAACCCCAAAAAGCGTTGATTTGGCTCGCTAAGCGGAGCTGTTTTGGCTACTGAGTTACAGAGTAGTTTCAGCCCCAATGAAGAGCTGCTTTAGAACCGACGGAGCCGATATAGCTTTTCTAATGGTGTAGTTTTTTAGCACCCAAAGGGCCAATATGGTTCTATTTCTGAGCCATTATAGACCACAAGAAAGGCCAATTTAACCCCTACTTTTTTAACCAGGCTATTTTGGCCCTCTCAGAAGAGCACAGTTTCAGCCCCAAAGAAGAGCTGCTTTAGAGCCGAAGGAGCTAATATAGCTTTTTTCATGGTGTAGTTTGTAGCACCCAAAGGGTCAATTTGGTCAAATTTCAGAGCCATTATAGATCCAAAAGAAAAGCCAATTTAACCCCTACTTTGTTAACCGGAGCTGTTCTGGCCCTTTCAGAGGAGAGCAGTCTCAGCCCCAATGAAGAGGTGCTTTAGAACCGATCGAGCTGATATAGCTTTTTGGTGGTGCTGTTTTATATAGCATTTAAAGTCATGTGGATTTGGTTGCACTCTTGCATGTAGACGTATTCTACATGTATATAATGAATCAGGCAAAAATATTGGGGTTTATTTGGTCTTGATTAATTAAATTATTACAATTTCTCCAACAGACCAAGATTGGAATGAATTATTGCAATATAAGTTGAGATAAATGTTCCAATTTCTGTATTATAAACACAATACTATAACTAAAATTACAATATACATGCACAGTAGTCAGTATTATGGATCTCACCGAAATATGGGAACCATCAAAAGATTCGTACATATATGCCATATGGCTCCGAAAGTTTACAATTCTAATTTTAAAAAGCAATCAACTTGTGATAGCAATAGCAGGCGCGGTTGTTAACATGAACGCAATACGAATAATTTCTAATACATTACCACAGTTCGGTGAGATGTGAGACAATACACACATTCCATCAATAACATTAACTTGGGTTAGCATATGTCAACATAACTCTCAAAAAGTGTAAAATTACTGTAGTACTAATACTCATGAGTCATGACAAGTCATTGAAGAGGGCTGTGACCCTCACTGGCAGTTGTATATGCCATTTTCTGTCTTGCCCATGCACTACTATAGTCTGCAAGGCAGATAGATGCTCTTCGTGTGGCAGTACTCAATATTGAAGATGTACAAACTTGCCAATAAGGCGATAATTGCATCAAAACAACTGTTGCTTGTTATGGAACTTTCATCCTTTCCCTCGATAACGTATGATTGACAGTTTCTAGTCGTATTCTAGTAAGTTCGATGCCAACGACCACAATATGGGTTGTGATAAGTTTGAAATTGTATCATTTGCATCTTCAGACTCCTACAAAAAAACAAAACAATTAGAATGTATGCAATAATCCGCAATTACAGGGGGTTATAGGACACATAAGATATAAGGTCTCACCAAGAAACCCAATAATAAAGCTCTTACATACATCAGACACAAAATACTTGAAAAAGTATATCACACCCGACCCCTATAACTCTTCCAAAAGCATTAAGTATAACATGACTTAGATTCTGCACTTCACTTGGTGGAATTAATATTAGAATCATGATGAAGTCCACCTTATCACAACCCGCACACCCGATTACCTATATATACATGAACTTACGGTTACAGCTTAACAGCTGGCCTCTGTAGCTCAGAGCGCCGCACCGGAATCGCAGGGCCGTAGGTTCGATTCCTACCAGAGGACCTTGTGCTGCATTTTTCGCAGTTGTTCCTGGTTAGGTCTTAAAATGTATATATTCTCACTTGGATTCATTCTAATATTAATTCCACCACGTGAAGTGCAGAATCTAAGTCATGAAGTCCACCTTATCACAACCCGCACACCCGATTACCTATATATACATGAACTTACGGTTACAGCTTAACAGCTAGCCTCTGTAGCTCAGTTGGTTAGAGCGTTGCACCGGAATCGCAGGGCCGTAGGTTCGATTCCTACCAGAGGACCTTGTGCTGCATTTTTCGCAGTCGTTCCTGGTTAGGTCTTAAAATGTATATATTCTCACTTGGATTCCAAACCCTAACATTCTAATATTAAGTATAACATACCAACATACAGTAATATTTTGAAAATCAAAATATATGCTGCCTCGCAACAAACTCTCCAAAAAATAAGCTCACTATAAGCACACAAATATTATTCAAATTTACAGTATACTGCATCATAAGAAAAATAAATACAAAATTGGAAACATGAATTTCCATAGCCTGGTACAAGTGATTCAGGGAGACTGCATAAAAACATAATACATGATATACATATAACTATACGATCTTATTTAACCCATTAAGCACCAGGGCTCTCCCCTTTACGAGTAGAATAGGCGTTCGACAGAGTAGAGTAATAAAGTTCAAAATCATTTTGTTTGAATTACTTCACCTATCTATTTGTTTAAAATTATGTGTGGTAGATTCTGTGGTATGAACACTTGCAAAATTACTCAAAAAATTTTAAATATGTGACATTACACAATATATGCGTTCAGTGCTGGCCAATTGCTAATAGTTCATGTTAAATCAATGTTTGGAAAATATAGGCAAGGGGTTGCTGCATGCATTTATTTCTACTTAAATATTAATTGGACATGCTCATGTCACTAGTGGTATTCATTATATTTTGGTCAGACAAAACAAATTCCACAACCCACAGGTTAAAATAGACATCTTGTGAATTATATCACAAACGATTAATAATTTTTTGCTGCAGCAAGCACAGATTCACCAGAAACATGTAACCTCATGAGTTTACACACCCCAAAACAACACTTTCCTAAAATGATAGCTTTCCTTCATCATTTAATTTTATAACTGGACTTAGCTGATCTGTTCTTATAGTTTTTATATTTTTAGACTTTTTGTTATTCAAGTTTGAAACAAGACCAAGATTGGTAGCGTTTAATTTTGACAATTTAAGAGAATGTAGTTCTGCATTACTGTTTTTCTCTGTATCTCATCCTTAATAAGCCTACCATTTTTAAATTTCAAATTGCCTCTTTCTTTCCTCTTCTATATATTAATAGTTTTTCTTTGGAAAATATCAGTAATCATATTTCTATTCTGTACAGTTCTGTTCCTACACAACATCTTCGCACCCACACATCGTGTTTAGGACTGAAGTTCCAGATCATGGAAATGCTCTGCCAACAGCCCTGCGGGTTCCCAAAGAGTGTGTAGCCCATGTATATCATAGTACAAACCATAGAAATAAAATTAAAACAATATATTTCATTTCAAATGCTTTTTTTTTCATTAATGTACAATAACTAGGGAATTTTATGTAAAGTGCAATTCTACATTCTCTTCGATTGACTTGAATATGTTTATGGCTAGCATTTATTTGATGTACTACAACAAATCCACTAAGTTTCAATGGACATAGCATCTCCCTATTTGAAATAAGCCATAAGGCATTATATTTGGTATTTTAATTAATATCTTAATTATTACAGAAATGATTGCACAAGTCATGCGTTTTGACAATTGTTGATCTATATTTTCAATATTAACCCCATTAAGCACCAGCGTTCTCCTCTCAAGACAGAGTAAAAAAAATAAAGTAGGTCGCAATGCGACTCAATGGGTTAACTATAAACACGGGCAAATAGGCCAGTTAAACCCATTAAGCACCAGCGCCCTTACCTTGACGAGTAAAATCATCTGGTGTTAGACAGAGTAAAATAATAAATTAGGGCAGAATGCGACTCAATGTGTTAACAACACACATGGGCAGATAGGCCAGTTAACCCCATTAAGCACCAGTGCTCTCCCCTTAATGAGTGAAATCATCTGGCGTTAGACAGAGTAAAATAATAAATTAGGGCACAATGCAACTCAATGTGTTAACAACACACATGGGCAGATAGGCTAGTTAACACATTAAGCGCCAGCGCTCTGCCCTTAATATTGTCGTGCGATAGGCAGAGTAAAATAATAAATTAGGCCGCATTAGGGCACAATGCGACTCAATGGGTTAACTATGTACACATGGGCAGATAGGCTAGTTAACACATTAACCGCCAGTGCTCTCCCCTTGATGAGTAAAATTGCTAGCGTTAGATAGCCAGAGTAAAATAATAAATACTTAGTGCGCATCAGGGCGCAATGCGACTCAATGGGTTATTAACATCAACAATGTTTCAAATGTCAAATCTGCCATGCTCAATATAATCATAGATTCGACTATTAATTTGACATGTAAGTCAGATGTCCTGTATACAACTACAACATCAATATACAGTATACTATTAATTAATTAATCAATCAGCCACAAAAATGTCAATCGTGTATTATTCTCGGCCTAAAAGCTAAACCTATTAATCCTAGATTGGTGTTTAGTTTGGCTTTTGCTGCTACTGAAACGACTTTTATATAATTATGTGATTACAGCTCGGAATTACAGTAGGTTCTGCATATAAAGATTTTCTCTGGATTCGATGTTTCACTATTTAGTATCGAGTAAAATCAACAAATAATTATGGGTCAAACGAGGATGAGAGTATTTTAAAGTTGAAACATAGTTGCAGAACACTCATCAAAGCTTTAATAATATTTTGTTCATCTGGAACTTGAAATGTCCTTTGTGTATTGATAAGCAATTCATGCATGACTTTCATCCTGATTTGACAGAGGCTATATAAATCTAAAATACCAGTTTAAAAACTTACATTATCAAATGAACCAGTGTTGCCAGTATGCCTGATTCAGGAGATGATTCTTGATTGGGCAAAGTTAAACTAGACTGGGCTACTAGCAAGTGATATGTCGCAGGATTTGAGCTAGTAGTGAACTGGATATTTCAATGTTGTGTGCACTTTTTTCATCGTCGCTGTCACTTTCAACTAGAACCTACATATACAAAAAATAAATAATCTTACATTCGTATCGTAAACGTGAAGCTATAAGAACATATTTTGAATAATTGATGTCCGCTGTCGTGACTTGGCCATCAGCAAACAACAGTCGTCGACACGAAGGTGAAGAAAGTAAATAACATTTGCCAGAATTAGGCTAGTACAGCACGAGACGTTTCTTGAACGTATTTTCCTAATAAATTGTTTATTTGTTCAAAATATACTGCAACAAACGAGGTTTTACGCTTGTATTTTATCCGTATCCCTCGTCGAAGCAAATCCCAACGGCCAACGTTCGATAATGGCGCCAAAAGTTAGTACGCATGCTCGAGAATGATCGCAAACCCGATTGCTTACGGGCGCGTGCATTCTCGTTCCCAGTTCCCGCGATCATTAATATTAATATTACACCTAGGCCTTATTCTATGATTACACGTTCAATTCTCGTGATGAATTTTTACAAATACGATATTTATATTTACGATAATATTACTAAAAATCTGGAAAACAAATTTCAATACCCTACAAAATGAAACATCAAATCTCACCTTGTATAAATTAATCCAAAAAACGTCCTCTTCTTTTTCTTTGCGAGCATGTGCATTCTTTAAGTTTTATGCGGAAGTTAATTTGATACGATCATACGACGGACGATCGACACAATTAAGAGTCGATTTGACGGAAGGGTCGATTTGACACATTTAATAGTCGATTTGACAAAAGAGTCGATTTGACACAATTAAGAGTCGATTTGACAGAAGGGTTGATTTGACACATTTAAGAGTCGATTTGACAGAAGGGTTGATTTGACACAATTAAGAGTCGATTTGACAGAAGGGTCGTTTCGACAAAAGGGTCGATTTCATTGCAGGGTCGATTTGACCTATGTGGGAGTCGTTCCGCGATGGAGAGCCGAAACGAAGCTCATAGGGGCCAATGTGTTGATCAAAAGCGGCCCCTTTATGTGGGGCCAAAACAAACCCGGACGTGAGAGTCGTTTTGGTCTGTGGGGCCATATTGGCAATTGATGGGGCTAAATTGGAAAATGATGGGTCCGTTACGGCAAAGGGTAGGGCCAATTTGGCTTTCCTCCATACCCCAAATGGCTCCGTCGGTGCCGATCCAGCTCTGCAATGCCAAAATGGCTTTCACATAGGGCCAAAACAGCTTTGGCCCCAAAAGGGCTGAAACGGAATTTGGGGTCGATTTGGCCCTTTTTAATTTACAGTGTAACCGTAATCGTTCTTTAGTAATGCACGCATCTTTAAATAACTTTCTCGTGAGGTAAAAATCTCTCTTGTGTGACAACAGTGCAAGTATAGTTGGAAGGGCCAATTAAAATTCTATAAATATAGTACATTATGCATTACGAGTTTATTCTCCGGATGATTAGTAAGAGTTAATTACCGAGAAACGAGACATTTAGCCAAATACAAGCGTTTACTGAGCTGGGAAGAGATTGACCTCACATGACTCATGTCAAATATCTGATAAACACTTTCGCAAGGTTAAAAATGCAATCCTTTTGTGTGGCCAAATTGCAAATACTGGCCTCTTAGTATAAAAGAGCTAGGGAAGGACAAATTAAAACATTTTAGATTGAGTATCTTGCATTATTATATACTTCGCAAATTTTCCCCTGCATCATGAGTAATTTTTTTTCTAAGTTTGAAGGACATAAAAAGCTTTCCTTGCATTATTAACATAAACTTGGATAATATAATTGGGTATAATTGTAAGGAGAGCCTGTTCGCAGCCTATTATCAGTTCAATTATTACAACGAGCAAGACCTTTTAGAGCAAGTGAAATAGTTCTTGAAAATCGGACAGGCGTAAAACCTTTTCACAAGTTGAATTTGAATTGTTTTGCATACAATATTATTTCATTGGCAAACAAAACCTTGTGACCTTTCCACCTATATTTATTATTCAAGAGCTAGAAGGATAAATAATAGAAGGATATTTTCTTTGCTCTCTTTAACAGATAAACGTCAGAGCTGTCAGGTCAGCCAGTTCAGTTATACACCAGAACGAGGTCATACTATACGACTGACAATCTCACGATATTTCAGGAAAATAAATTTATTGGTCAACTTCTCGATCTTAGCATCGATGAATAGACTTGCCACAAGTCGACCATGGGGGAGGGAGGGCGCGGGGGAGGGAGCGTGCGACCCAGCGACGAAGTCGCGAGTGGACGACTTGTGTCGCTTGCAGGAATTTAAATCGCATTAAAAATTTTGGCGCGAATAATTTTGACATATTAAAAGGGTGTGTACATTTCATACAATTACTTCACCGCGCCGACAATGGGTCTACAAAAACACAAAAACATTCTCTAGAATTGATATTTCTTGGTCGTCGAATGAAACAGTTAGCACTGAAGTGTGGAAACGAAATAACTGACCTAAGTAAGCGCCGAAACCTATAGTTCAATGTGTCAACAAAAACAAGTGCGTGTAAAAACTTATTGAAGCTTCACAGTTGTTTGTCTATTAAACAATGTGTGCCGTAATTATATGTCGACAAGAATAGTCAGTTCGCCAGCGATTTAATTAGCGTAGCTAGTAGAAGTTAATCTATAAATTGAAAAGAATCAGACAACTGTAACCAACACCACTGGCATTTGTCATGTCCATCAAAATAGTTTGTAGCTCTCTTGAACAATGTACAAATTATCAAGAATTTACTCAAATACCAGCTGAAGAAAAACGTATGCAAATGTTCTCGCTTTTTTAGGCTTCACAGCAGTTTATATTCAGACGTGACTGGGGCGCTTTCCATTAACACGGCCAGACCGGTCAAAACGGTCGAATTGTTGAATGGAACACAAAATGTTTGAGCTTCCAACCTATCCGACCGGAAAATTTAGATAACGTTAGAATCAGGTCCATTTTCGTTAGATATTTGAGAAACATAGACCAGATCTTTCCATTGATACGGAGAAAAGGATTTGGGTCCACGGGAATAGTTTACGAATAGTATTTTGCGACTACATTTTGGAACGCACATACTTAAAACGGATTATAATTAATGGTTCAATAATTTATTTAATGTTTAAAGTGTTACCCAAGTGGGCGGTTATAAGCTTCAGTGAATGCTTTATAGCCTATCATAAAGAGCAAGCCATGCTGGCTAAATGAAGATCTGTTGACCCCATATCTCAGTCACGAAATGACGCTTACCGTGTAGCCAAGGCTGCAAATGTGTAATCATCACAGTTCTATACTCAGCCCTGTTTGGAAGCTAGCTGCTTCTCATAGTAACTTGAAATGTTGGTTGCTAATATAGACAGTGGCTATTTCTATATTGACGACCCTAAGCGAAGCTATTTTTTCTTTTCCTCTTTCTTAATTTTTACCTCCGCCAGGAGGTTATGTAATCATCTGGGTTTTTACCCCCGCCAGGAGGTTATGTAATCATCTGGGTTTGTATGTGTGTGTGTGTGTGTATGTGTGTGTGTATGTGTGTGTGTATGTGTGTGTGTGTATGTGTGTGTATGTGTGTGTGTATGTGTGTGTGTGTGTTTGTCTGTGAGCACGATAACTCAAGAAATACCAAACATATCCGTACGAAATTTTGTGAGTGCATTTCCCATCGGCCAAGGAAGAACTGATTAAAATTTGGTTGAATTTGGTTAAAAATTGAACGAGAAATGAACAAATTTTGTCTTGCTTTTCCCGGTCAATTAACAAAATATATTACTGAATGCGTAATTAAGACGTGTATAATTTATGCACTCAGTGCTAAGACAATAATGAGATGATAAACCTCATTAAGCTTCGGCCTTCATTATCTATTGTCTTAGTTGCATTTCACGCGACCGAAATTCAATGTCTAAAACAAGGCTTACGGAGTTACGCATTATTACGTTCAGCAAAGTGCCAGTCCATTCAAATTCTAACAACATTAGATTACTTCAATACAGGGTGTATAAAAAGAACGCAACCTCGGAATTTCCCAAGAAATCGACATTGTTTTAAAGACAAAAGATTTTAGCTGCCTGGGAATTTAAAATAGCACAACTGTGAAAATTACTGCACGCGCGAGTGCACTTAATAAGTTTTTATTTTACAAGTACTGTACAGTACAACAACAGTAATATGTTCTATTAGCAATTCGATTTCAATTCGCGGGGGCCTGAAATCTTTTATGCTTAAGGATTATAAAGTGGATTTCTTAGGAAATTCCAAGGTTGCGTTTCACTTCCGAGTAACGGGCGGAGGTATGCAGTCTCTGAGTGCCCTCTAGTTAGTTTCTGTATTGATATGCACTTCCTTGCCTATCTTATGCTGATACTACTTGCATGCCTATATATATATATATATTGTTTTCATTATTTCTACATTAAACCAAACACGCACATGCACATTATGTGCACTTACTTAATCGGACCAATAAAATATTTAAAAATCTATTATTGGTAAAAGATAAAGAATACGTACCGGATTATACTTAAAAATATTGTATTCCAAAACCACATGAAACATCAACACCGTCATATAGGCGTATACCAGAGGATTACTTTATTCGCACACTGATTTCGACAAGGTCAATTGTTATACGTATAAATATACCTCTTAAGTGTTTGAAGGGCAAATGAAAATTTTAAATAGTATTACGCAGAACAAGTTTATTCTCTGCATAACTAATTTTTCCTTCGTAATATTTTAAAGTTTTTAAAATTAACTGGATTTTAACGATTGTCTTGGACGATATTTTAAACCTTGAACTATCCGAACTGCTCTTAGTACTCTGATGAAGGTTGCAGTTAGCAACCGAAAATTTAGAACTTTTTTAGACTTTTTATTGTACATATTTTGGTATTTTAAAAAGAATTTTAGACCAGCTTCAACTCCAAAGTTATCATGTATTCCACTGGTCGCCCCAACAGCATATATATATATATATATATATATATATATATATATATATATATATATATATATATATATATATATATATATATATATATATATATATAATTGAGTAAAGTTGTTTATCACGGAAACAAGGCTATGCAGTATAGCGAAGGCTAAATGCTTTCTGGAGGGGTGTATTCAGAAGAGTTTTTTCCACGTCGGTAAAGTTCAGAGCAAATTAAAATTGTGAAAATAGTGTTACGCACGATAAATTTATTCCCTGTATTGCTAATTCAATCCAGTTTTGATATGTTATCGTGCGTTAATTAATACGTCAAAACCTTTTCTTTTTCGTATAATATATAAAGATCAATTTGTTAGCTGTCAAATAAAACGTTCATGAAAGGATGGGCTAAATTCTTGTCGTTTAAATATAATAGAGGAATATTTTCTACTCTACGTTTAACAGCTAAAATTTAGAGCTGCTAAGTCTCACTGCTTACGCATCATGGTTTTGAGCTTTCGACTCAAAAGTGGTGCATTTTTCTGCGCGTAATACAAGACTACTCAAAATGGGCTATAAATTTTCCGTATTTTACAGCATTTTGCAACCAAAATTTGGCAATTTTACTAACTTAAGGATGTTCTTTTAAGCTATAATGATGCATTTCGTCCTTCTTGTCTGGGTCAAAGTTTATTTTATAGCTGGGATCATAGATTAACGTGTTATTTGTCCAATATTTTTTTTCGATGTTTAGAGTTAATAAAAAAGTGGGCGGTATGATAGGCCTCAGTGGCGGCTCTATACATTAAAAAGAAAGACGCCAACCACGCTGGATAGATAAAGCTCTTTATACCCAACATACGGAAACGACGCTGTATGGTATAGCGAAGGTTGAGTACTTTCTGGAGGAGTGTATATATTCACAAGAGCTCTTTCCATATATCGGCAAAACTTCTCTTGTGTGACCAAGGTGAAAGTGTACGTACTTACCTTCTAAAAGTAGGAAGGGCAAATTAAAATTTTAAATTTAGTACTACGGAGGGCAAATTTATTCCCTGTATAACCAATTTTTCCTTCCCAACATTGAATGTTTTTAACTGGATTTTAACTACTGCCTTGGACCATATAGAGGGTATATAAAACGTAATCCAACTTTGACATCTTATCGTGCGTCAATTAATACGTCATGCAGTAGCTTTTCTTTTTCGTACATATAAATATCAGTCTTTCAGCTGTCAAATGACACATTTATGGAATGATGGGTTAAATTCGTGATCGTTTAAAAAGTGATCATTTAATTAAATTCGCATTTTCCCACCTTTGGGATTGAAATGTTCTTCCAATTTTCTAACATTTGCCCAAATGTTTGTTGCCCATTTGGGAAACGTATTCCATTGTGAGCCAGTCGGCAAGCATCCAGTGTTGTAAAATGTTTTAGCCACTCCATGTAGAAGTAAAAGAGCAAGTAAAAGTGTATCGAAACTTGATCTTACACATGCGTTGCGCCATATTTACTCAAAGGACTTCAATCTGAATCTCAATTAAGAATGATTGCAATACACAGACAATAGCTTTACAAGCGATTCCCAGCGGTAGAAAAATGCGATTTGACCGACATTTATAAATCTGATCGTATTTGGCTATTTTTAATCGCAATGATACAAGTCAGATTTAGCATTCGATACCTAAAAGCTTGATCTTTACACGTATGAAAAAAGTAAATGAATAAAGTAAATGTAATATACAGTATGACCAGCTAGGCTGCACAAAAACATGCCAAAGTTGGATTACCTTCACCCCTGTATAATTGAGTAAAGTTGTTTATCATCATTTCAACTCCCACAAAAGGCAAGGACCTTCTAGAGCCATGGAATATTTCTTAAACATCGGAAAGGTGGAAAAAGTTTTTTCATTTGTATCTGGTAGCTGCTGTATATACCTAATGTCAATTTATTGGCATACAAGAAACCTAATGACCCCTTGATCGCTTTTATATTCCGACGAGTACAAAAGCACATGTAATTTCCCAATCCATGCTACCACAATGAGCCTTCGCTCGACACGTTTTATTTTACGGGTGCAGTTGAATCCCCCCACAATCCGCAGCTTTCTGGTTTTATTGTCTCTATATACATACTCTGGCAAAGACCAATCATGCTTCCTCTATATATTTATTAACGTTCACGTTTCTTCCTATATTTAACATCACCAAAATTTATAGACGAATATTTTCTATAATCTATATAACATCTAAACCTTAAGCTGCCGAATCGTGCTATTTCTACCCACGAGTCTCCTGGTTTTGGGGCTAACCGTCGTGTCGTACGAGGGGCTGATAAACCTCAAATCTCCCATAACCACTCAGGGCCGTAGCTAGACGCGATAATTGGGATGTATATTCATACATAGTTCGTGCATGTTCACATACCGTAAAAACAATCACTTTCAAAAGACATGCGTCTGGCAGAACACGCATATATGAAAAATTTAGATTAGTATATATTATGCATTATTATTCATAGCGAATTTATTCCCTGCATCACTAATTTTGTCTTATATTTTAAAAGACTTAAAAAGTGTTGCCTGCAGTGCCGCCCAGAGGGGGGGGCAAAGGGGGCAATTTGCCCTGGGCCCCGAGTTTCCGGGGGGCCCCTGAAAAATTTTTGTAGGGGCCCCGCCTTTTTTGTGTGTTAAATATTTCCGCGCAAAGGACAAGATATCTGTTTTCTTGGGCTAAGTACCGAATTTTGGCCTAAAAAAATGAGATAAAGTAAATCGAAAGCATTTGCAACGTACTCGTCCGGCAAAATTTTTTTTGGGGGGGGGACGTCGCCAAAATAATATCCGGAAAAAATTTTTCAGGAAAACTTTTTTTAGATAGGGCCCCTAAAAATAAATTTGCCCCGGGCCCCCGCCAACCTCTGGGCGGCCCTGGTTGCCTGCATTTTTAACATACTCTTGGACAATTTAATTGGGTATAGTTGTTTATTATCATTTCGACTACCACAACGGGCAACATCTTTTAGGTAATGGGTGTAGTTGCTTATCATTATTTCGACAACTACCAAAAGTAAGACCTTCTAAAGCAATGGATATATTTCTTTATACTCATCGGAAAGGTTGGAAAATTTTCTTTATGCACTGTTATTTTCGGGGTGTTATTTTAACACCACTTTGAAGGGATTCTACACTGTAAATTAAAAAGGGCCAAATCGACCCCAAATTCCGTTTCAGCCCTTTTGGGGCCAAAGCTGTTTTGGCCTTATGTGAAAGCCATTTTGGCATTGGAGAGCTGGATCGGCACCGACGGAGCCATTTGGGGTATGGAGGAAAGCCAAATTGGCCCTACCCTTTGCCGTAACGGACCCATCATTTTCCAATTTAGCCCCATCAATTGCCAATATGGCCCCACAGACCAAAACGACTCTCACGTCCGGGTTTGTTTTGGCCCCACATAAAGGGGTCGCTTTTGATCAACACATTGTCCCCTATGAGCTTCGTTTCGGCTCTCCATCGCGGAACGACTTTCGCATAGGTCAAATCGACCCTGGAATGAAATCGACCCTTTTGTCGAAACGACCCTTCTGTCAAATCGACTCTTAATTGTGTCAAATCGACCCTTCTGTCAAATCGACTCTTAAATGTATCAAATCGACCCTTGTGTCAAATCGACTCTTAATTGTGTCAAATTGACCCTTTTGTCAAATCGACTCTTAAATGTGTCAAATCAACCCTTCTGTCAAATCGACTCGTAAATGTGTCAATTCGACTCTTCTGTCAAATCGACTCTTAATTGTGTCATATCGACTCTTAATATTGTGTCATATCGACTATTAATATTGTGTCAAATCGACCCTTCCGTCAAATCGACTCTTAATTGTGTCGATCGTCCGTCGTATGATCGTATCAAATTAACTTCCGCATAAAACTTAAAGAATGCACATGCTCGCAAAGAAAAAGAAGAGGACGTTTTTTGGATTAATTTATACAAGGTGAGATTTGATGTTTCATGAGATTCAATTTATACAAGGTGAGATTTGATGTTTCATGTGAGACAAGATTGGATGAAAATATTAGTAACCAGGATATGCATATAGATAACTATGATTTAATTAGGTTTGATCGTTCTAGAAAAGGGGGAGGCGTCTGTATATATGCCAAAAATTCTCTTAACTTTTCCGAACGAAAAGACTTGACTAGAGATAATCTTGAGGCTGTTTTTATCGAAATTCATAAACCTTCTAGTGCATCCTTTATTGTTGGAACTATATACAGACCTCCAAGTGCTTCGGTTGACTCATTTGTCGCAATTGAAAAATTAGTGCAATTAATAGATGACGAGAATAAGGAATTCTATTTACTTGGCGATTTAAATGCCAACATGCTTGACATTTCGAATAATGCCACAAAAGAACTAGTTTCAATAATGGAACAATATCAATTAACTCAAACAATTAGTGCACCCACTCGTGAGACCACGACTTCATCCTCTTTGTTAGATGTTTGTCTCACTTCTACTCCAGAAAAGTTAATTATATCTAGGGTAGTGCCGATTACAATTAGTGACCATTATATGATCGTCATTGTTCGTAAAATAAATACTTACTGTAAACAAAAACGCCACAAGAAAGTTGAATTTCGAAATTTAAAAAATTTTAATGTCGATAATTTCCAAGCCGACCTGTATTGTCAGGATTGGGAATTATTAGATAACCAAGCATGCGTTGATAAGATGTGGGATATATGGAAAACACTCTTTATGACAGTGCTCGACAAACATGCTCCAAATAAAGAGAAAAGAGTGAAAGATAAACCCAGTGTCCCTTGGCTAACCACTACAATTAAAAAACAAATTAGAGAACGAGATCGTCTAAAACTTCTTGCAATAAAATACAAATCGGAAAATTACTGGGATGCTTAGAAATCGTCTAGAAATCGCATAACAGATGCTTTGCGAGAAGCTAAAACAGCTTATTATAAAGTACAATTTGATAAAGTAAAACATGAACCCAAACAAGCTTGGAAAACTGTTAATAAAATCCTAAATCGAAAGCAAAAATGTCCAGATATAAACTCTGTCAAAACTCAGAATGGAGAGATTACCGATCCAAATGAGTTAGCGGAAAGTTTCAATGATTATTTTACTAATATTGGCCCAGATATTGCAAAAACGATCGATAAAGGTGACAGAAATTTCACGGATTACATAACTAGAGTAACTAGTAATTTTAAGTTCCAAGCTGTATCTGAATCGAAAGTTCATAGACTTCTTTTGTTTCTAAATCCCGGTAAATCTACCGGTATTGACAAAATTCCAGCTAAAATTATTCGTATTGCTTCCCCAGTAATTGCAAATTCCTTGGCAAAAATTTTTAATAGGGCAATCACCAGTGAATCCGCTCCATCTGAATGGAAAGCAGCGAGAGTTACACCTTTACATAAAAAAGGCCCTCGAAACCTGTTAAATAATTATCGCCCTATATCCATTCTTCCTGTTGTAAGTAAAGTTTTCGAAAAAGTATTATACGAACAGTTACACGATTATCTTGTTACAAATAACTTACTATCCCAACATCAATTCGGTTTTAGACGTAGTCACTCAACAGCATCCGCCCTTTTAGATAGCACAAATGAATGGTTTGTTAATATGGATCGTGGCTTTTTTAATATTGCAGTCTTTCTCGACTTGCAAAAGGCATTCGACACTATTAACCACGTTGTGTTATTGAAAAAACTTGATTTTTATGGTTTAGAAACACCAGCTTTAAACCTCCTAAAATCGTATCTAGAAAACAGAACTCAAATGTGCTCTGTTAATGGCACACTTTCTCGTAAAAAATTAATTACATGTGGAGTCCCTCAAAGCTCAATTCTTGGGCCGCTCCTATTTTTGGTTTATATTAATGATCTGCCAAACAGTTTGGAGTATTCGTCAACAAGAATGTTTGCCGATGATACGACATTAACTGCATCTGGTAAATCAGTTGCTGATGTAGAAATGGCCATTAATTATGATCTTGCTAACGTAAAGCGGTGGCTATCTGCAAACAAACTATCCCTAAATCTTGTTAAAACTGAATACCTACTAATTGGATCTCGGCATAACGTCAACAATCTAGCCCTTGTTCCAAATGTGTTCGTTGGCGATGTACAAATTAAAAGAGTAAGAGAAACAAAAGCACTTGGAGTATGTATTGATGAATTTTTGTCATGGAATAAGCATATTGACAAAATTGCTAAGAAGGTTTCATCCGGAATTGTAGCGATCAGAAGACTCAAACCCTGTGTGGACCATAATACATTAATATGTGCTTATAACGCACTTATATTGCCCCACTTCGACTACTGCTGCGAAGTTTGGGATACTATTGGTATCACACTCTCTGATCGCCTCCAAAAATTACAAAATAGGGCTGCTAGAGTAATTACGGGTCGTAAAAACGAACACGGCCAATCTGAACTTGCTTTAAATGAACTAAACTGGAAAACATTGAAAGAACGCAGAACTCAATTTGTAGCAAGTCTCATGTACAAAATAACCCACGATCTAGCGCCCAAACAACTAATTGATATGTTTCAAAAGACGCCTTCGTCTCAACATTATAACTTACGAGGTTATGCCACAAATCTCTATCTGCCCAAACCTAAGACCGAATATCTTAAAAAAGGTCTTAGTTATAGAGGAGCAAAATTGTGTAATGGTCTCCCAGATAGACTAAGAAATAAATGTTCTCTTAGTCAATTTAACTTGGGTGTGCGGCATCTGGCCAGTTAGATAATAAGTTTATGAAATTTTATTTATTTGACCATAGTAGAGTAATTATAATTGTATAATTGTATTGTAATGTGTTAGTCTTGTATATATATTTATCCTAATTGAGTGTAACGTTTGTATTTTTAAACCTACGCCCCTCTTGGAAATCAGCTCTTGCTGTAGGGGTTAGCGTAGACAAATAAAGTTTTTACTTACTTACTTACTTACTTACATTTTGTAGGGTATTGAAATTTGTTTTCCAGATTTTTAGTAATATTATCGTATAAATATAAATACGGTATTTGTAAAAATTAATCACGAGAATTGAACGTGTAATCATAGAATAAGGCCTAGGTGTAATATTAATATTAATGATCGCGGGAACTGGGAACGAGAATGCACGCGCCCGTAAGCAATCGGGTTTGCGATCATTCTCGAGCATGCGTACTAACTTTTGGCGCCATTATCGAACGACGAACGTTGGCCGTTGGGATTTGCTTCGACGAGGGATACGGATAAAATACGAGCGTAAAACCTCGTTTGTTGCAGTATATTTTGAACAAATAAACAATTTATTAGGAAAATACGTTCAAGAAACGTCTCGTGCTGTACTAGCCTAATTCTGGCAAATGTTATTTACTTTCTTCACCTTCGTGTCGACGACTGTTGTTTGCTGATGGCCAAATCACGACAGCGGACATCAATTATTCAAAATATGTTCTTATAGCTTCACGTTTACGATACGAATGTAAGATTATTTATTTTTTGTATATGTAGGTTCTAGTTGAAAGTAACAGCGACGATGAAAAAAGTGCACACAACATTGAAATATCCAGTTCACTACTAGCTCAAATCCTGCGACATATCACTTGCTAGTAGCCCAGTCTAGTTTAACTTTGCCCAATCAAGAATCATCTCCTGAATCAGGCATACTGGCAACACTGGTTCATTTGATAATGTAAGTTTTTAAACTGGTATTTTAGATTTATATAGCCTCGGTCAAATGAGGATGAAAGTCATGCATGAATTGCTTATCAATACACAAAGGACATTTGAAGTTCCAGATGAACAAAATATTTATATTAAAGCTTTGATGAGTGTTCTGCAACTATTTTTCAACTTTAAAATACTCTCATCCTCATTTGACCCATAATTATTTGTTGATTTTACTCGATACTAAATAGTGAAACATCGAATCCAGAGAAAATCTTTATACGCAGAACCCACTGTAATTCCGAGCTGTAATCACATAATTATATAAAAGTCGTTTCAGTAGCAGCAAAAGCCAAACTAAACACCAATCTAGGATTAATAGGTTTAGCTTTTAGGCCGAGAATAATACACGATTGACAATTTTGTGGCTGATTGATTAATTAATTAATAGTATACTGTATATTGATGTTGTATACAGGACATCTGACTTACATGTCAAATTAATAGTCGAATCTATGATTATATTGAGCATGGCAGATTTGACATTTGAAACATTGTTGATGTTAATAACCCATTGAGTCGCATTGCGCCCTGATGCGCACTAAGTATTTATTATTTTGCTCTGGCTATCTAACGCTAGCAATTTTACTCATCAAGGGGAGAGCACTGGCGGTTAATGTGTTAACTAGCCTATCTGCCCATGTGTACATAGTTAACCCATTGAGTCGCATTGTGCCCTAATGCGGCCTAATTTATTATTTTACTCTGCCTATCGCAGGACAATATTAAGGGCAGAGCGCTGGCACTTAATTAATGTGTTAACTAGCCTATCTGCCCATGTGTGTTGTTAACACATTGAGTTGCATTGTGCCCTAATTTATTATTTTATTCTGTCTATCGCCAGATGATTTCACTCATTAAGGGGAGAGCACTGGTGCTTAATGGGGTTAACTGGCCTATCTGCCCATGTGTGTTGTTAACACATTGAGTCGCATTCTGCCCTAATTTATTTTTTTACTCTGTCTTGAGAGGAGAACGCTGGTGCTTAATAGGGTTAATATTGAAAATATAGATCAACATTTGTCAAAACGCATGACTTGTGCAATCATTTCTGTAATAATTAAGATATTAATTAAAATACCAAATATAATGCCTTATGGCAAATAGGGAGATGCTATGTATGTCCATTGAAACTTAGTGGATTTGTTGTAGTACATCAAATAAATGCTAGCCATAAACATATTCAAGTCAATCGAAGAGAATGTAGAATTGCACTTTACATAAAATTCCCTAGTTATTGTACATTAATGAAAAAAAAAGCATTTGAAATGAAATATATTGTTTTAATTTTATTTCTATGGTTTGTACTATGATATACATGGGCTACACACTCTTTGGGAACCCGCAGGGCTGTTGGCAGAGCATTTCCATGATCTGGAACTTCAGTCCTAAACACGATGTGTGGGTGCGAAGATGTTGTGTAGGAACAGAACTGTACAGATTAGAAATATGATTACTGATATTTTCCAAAGAAAAACTATTAATATATAGAAGAGGAAAGAAAGAGGCAATTTGAAATTTAAAAATGGTAGGCTTATTAAGGATGAGATACAGAGAAAAACAGTAATGCAGAACTACATTCTCTTAAATTGTCAAAATTAAACGCTACCAATCTTGGTCTCGTTTCAAACTTGAATAACAAAAAGTCTAAAAATACAAATACTATAAGAACAGATCAGCTAGGTCCAGTTATAAAATTAAATGATGAAGGAAAGCTATCATTTTAGGAAAGTGTTGTTTTGGGGTGTGTAAACTCATGAGGATACATGTTTCTGGTGAATCTGTGCTTGCTGCAGCAAAAAATTATTAATCGTTTGTGATATAATTCACCAGATGTCTATTTTAACCTGTGGGTTGTGGAATTTGTTTTGTCTGACCAAGATATAATGAATACCACTAGTCACATGAGCATGTCCAATTAATATTTAACTAGAAATAAATGCATGCAGCAACCCCTTGCCTATATTTTCCAAACATTGATTTAACATGAACTATTAGCAATTGGCCAGCACTGAACGCAGTCTCGCGTTGTGTCAAGTGTTGTCAAGGCAACATAATGTCACATATTTTAAATTTTTTGAGTAATTTTGCAAGTGTTCATACCACATAATCTACCATACATAATTTTAAACAAATAGATAGGTGAAGTAATTCAAACAAAATGATTTTGAACTTTATTACTCTACTCTGTCGAACGCCTATTCTACTCGTAAAGGGGAGAGCTCTGGTGCTTAATGGGTTAAATAAGATCGTATAGTTATATGTATATCATGTATTATGTTTTTATGTAGTCTGCCTGAATCACTTGTACCAGTCTATGGAAATTCATGTTTCCAATTTTGTATTTATTTTTCTTATGATGCAGTATACTGTAAATTTGAATAATATTTGTGTGCTTATAGTGAGCTTATTTTTAGGAGAGTTTGTTGCGAGGCAGCATATATTTTGATTTTTCAAAATATTGCTGTATATTGGTATGTTATACTTAATATTAGAATGTTAGGGTTTGGAATCCAAGTGAGAATATATACATTTTAAGACCTAACCAGGAACGACTGCGAAAAATGCAGCCCAAGGTCCTCTGGTAGGAATCGAACCTACGGCCCTGCGATTCCGGTGCAGCGCTCTAACCAACTGAGCTACAGAGGCCAGCTGTTGAGCTGTAACCGTAAGTTCGTGTATATATAGGTAACCGGGTGTGCGGGTTGTGATAAGGTGGACTTCATGACTTAGATTCTGCACTTCACTTGGTGGAATTAATATTAGAATGTTAGGGTTTGGAATCCAAGTGAGAATATATACATTTTAAGACCTAACCAGGAACAACTGCGAAAAATGCAGCACAAGGTCCTCTGGTAGGAATCGAACCTACGGCCCTGCGATTCCGGTGCAGCGCTCTGAGCTACAGAGGCCAGCTGTTAAGCTGTAACCGTAAGTTCATGTATATATAGGTAATCTGGTGTGCGGGTTGTGATAAGGTGGACTTCATCATGATTCTAATATTAATTCCACCAAGTGAAGTGCAGAATCTAAGTCATGTTATACTTAATGCTTTTGGAAGAGTTATAGGGGTCGGGTGTGATATACTTTTTCAGGTATTTTGTGTCTGATGTATGTAAGAGCTTTATTATTGGGTTTCTTGGTGAGACCTTATATCTTATGTGTCCTATAACCCCGTGTAATTGCGGATTATTGCATACATTCTAATTGTTTTTTTGTAGGAGTCTGAAGATGCAAAAGATTCAAACTTATCACAACCCATATTGTGGTCGTTGGCATCGAACTTACTAGAATACGACTAGAAACTGTCAATCATACGTTATTGAGGGAAAGGATGAAAGTTCCATAACAAGCAACAGTTGTTTTGTTGCAATTATCGCCTTATTGGCAAGTTTTTACATCTTCAATATTGAGTACTGCCACACGAAGAGCATCTTATCTGCCTTGCAGATTATAGTAGTGCATGGGCAAGACAGAAAATGGCATATACAACTGCCAGTGAGGGTCACAGCCCTCTTCAATGACTTGTCATGACTCATGAGTATTAGTACTACAGTAATTTTACACTTTTTGAGAGTTATGTTGACATATGCTAACCCAAGTTAATGTTATTGATGGAATGTGTGTATTGTCTCACATCTCACCGAACTGTGGTAATGTATTAGAAATTATTCGTATTGCGTTCATGTTAACAACCGCGCCTGCTATTGCTATCACAAGTTGATTGCTCTTTAAAATTAGAATTGTAAAGCCATATGGCATATATGTACGAATCTTTTGATGGTTCCCACATTTCGGTGAGATCCATAATACTGGCTACTGTGCATGTATATTGTAATTTTTGTTATAGTATTGTGTTTATAATACAGAAATTGGAACATTTATCTCAACTTATATTGCAATAATTCATTCCAATCTTGGTCTGTTGGAGAAATTGTAATAATTTAATCGAGACCAAATAAACCCCAATATTTTTGTCTGATTCATTATATACATATAGAATATGTCTACATCCAAGAGTGCAACCAAATCCACATGACTTTAAATGCTATATAAAACAGCACCACCAAAAAGCTATATCAGCTCGATCGGTTCTAAAGCACCTCTTCATTGGGGCTGAGACTGCTCTCATCTGAAAGGGCCAGAACAGCTCCGGTTAACAAAGTAGGGGTTAAATTGGCTTTTCTTTTGGATCTATAATGGCTCTGAAATTGGACCAAATTGACCCTTTGGGTGCTACAAACTACACCATGAAAAAAGCTATATTAGCTCCCTCGGCTCTAAAGCAGCTCTTCTTTGGGGCTGAAACTGTGCTTTTCTGAGAGGGCCAAAATAGCTCTGGTTAAAAAAGTAGGGGTTAAATTGGCCTTTCTTGTGGTCTATAATGGCTCAGAAATAGAACCATATTGGCCCTTTGGGTGCTAAAAAACTACACCATTAGAAAAGCTATATCGGCTCCGTCGGTTCTAAAGCAGCTCTTCATTGGGGTTGAAACTACTCCGTAACTCAGTAGCCAAAACAGCTCCGGTTAGCGAGCCAAATCAACGCTTTTTGGGGTTCATTATGACCACAAATGGGAGCCAAATTAACTCCTCAAAATGCCAAAATAGCCCCCTAATTTTCTGAATTGGCCCCTATTGAAAGTTGAAATAGCCCCTGCTTTTGCCAAAACAGCTCCTACTAAAAGCTGAAACAGACCTTACACTGGAAGGGCCAAATCACCCCTAGGGGCCGCATTGTTATAGGTGCCATTTTGACCCCCAAAAAAGATCTATTTTGCGGTCACCGTTTTGGCCCCATTTTTGGGGTCGTTTCAGCCCTTTTTAATTTAAAGTGTATGCATGGAAGATTAGTTATTCAATGAGGCTCAAGTTTTGTACGTCATCGGAAACAATGTTATTTGTATTGTTATGGCAAACTCGAAGGATATAAATTTGGCACATTAAAGCCCTAAAGTCATTGCCAGTCCAAAGTTTCGCTGAGGAGTATTGGAATCTTTATTACATTCAAATTGCTTATTGAGGTAAGTCAGAAAAGTACCGTTTATCACACGAAAATGCAACTGTTCTTCTGCTGACAGTTCTTATCAATATATAAGTTTTAGTTTTGTTAATTATTTTCATATTGATTCGAAGTCAATTTTAAAGTACAAGCTTGATCTTTCATATAGTATAAGCGAATTTCATATAGTGAACCTTATATAGTACAAGCTTGAACTTTCAGGCGAGGAATAAGGTACCTCCCTCAAGGAATTTTAACAGGTTGGGTCCCCGGGAGTAGGGTGATAGGTGGTGGGTAATGGAATGGGTATGAATTTGGCAATTGACTCCTAGAATATCAAATGCAGATAACTGAATTGTTTCTGTTTATATCTTTTTAGCAGAAATGGGCTTTGCGTTGAAAGTTAGTGTGATGTTTGTTATACTGGTGGCCGTTTTTGGTGTGGACGGACGTTTCGTTAAAAGTCCAGACAAGCGAGGTAAGCGTGAATGATATAATTTTAATTTTTTAAAATTGCAATGCGTAATTATTAAATGAAAAACAAACTCTCAATGCAACCAACTTGTGCGCACAAGAAATAATTTTATTTCAAAATCATCATCAAATCTAGGTCTATATTGTATGTTTTCATTATCCTGTTTTTTGTTTTATATTAATTTTGTTAAAATTGTTGACCAGAAATGGATTATTTGTGGTATTATTCTAGCTGGCAAATAAACTAATTAAATCCTATTAAACGCTACTTTGTAAAATACATGTGATCAACGCGCTTTGAAAATCGGTACCAGATTCGGAATTACAAGTTTAGCATGTTTATGTCATATTCCAGTAATAAATCTTTGTGATATTGTGGTTGTATGCATACACTGTATGACCATGCATGCATATTTTGATCTCTGAATACTTGTTGAATTAAAAGATTTATAAGTAGTGGCGTGCCCAGGGTATAATCTTTGTGTGTGTGTGTGTGTGTGTGTGTGTGTGTGTTTGGGGGCAAAAGACATTTCGAGTGCAACCGCCAAAGGCGGAAGGAATCTAAGGGAGTCCGGCGGCATGTTCTCCCGGGAAAATTTTGAATTTCTGGACTCATTACTACGCTAATTCACGTATTTTATGACGAAGTTTGAAGTAAAGTTAAGTTACAACCACAAAAGCCATTTTTAGGTCACCTAATGTTGGTAGATCCATGTAAAACGTTATACTGTGTACGCAAATACAACAGCAAACTAGCACAATGTCTTGGTTTTTGTAATAAAAAGAACTGACGAAGCTCATGCATTTCACTGCCATATTTGAACATTGAAGCCGGCCATGGCAGCTGCTATGGGCGCAAATTCAATTTGAACTGTGCTTTCAACAACCATAGGCGTTTTTCAAGTTTTGGAGTTAGGATTCTAGATAGGGAAGACTGGAAGTTTTATTGGTAAACAGAACAGACGGGTATCATCATTCACACTTCGTACTCCTATTCCAACAGACCAACAAAAAAAATTCTGTCTGGATTTCAGCTTTTCGAAAGGGAAGGCCTTCCAGAGCTCCCCCCCCCCTGGCTACGCTATTGTTTATAAGTAAAACCATTTTCTTTTCATGCAGGTGAATATGAGAATGAGAAAAGGATTCTATTGTGCCATGAATATAATTTTGGTTTCTGCGCACCATTTGCACACATATGTGGTCGTGTGCCTGGATATTTTGCATGTGGCGCTTCTTGCAGTCCTAGACCCGGCCTCGTATGTTGTTGGTATGAATCGTTCCGATCCACGCATCCATTACTGTAGAAACCCGCATAAAAGAACCAGTGGATTGAAAATTTGGAGCCTGAAATTGATGCAATTAAGCGCTTAAAATAGGGCCTTTTTTAACTGTGGCATTTACATAAACATACCATGCAACTACCTAACTGAAGATTCAGTATAACGTAACGGTGCATGTATATCCACGAAGTACCGTTTTGGGGACATTGATTTTGGAGACGTTTTCTGGCTGGAAATGTTCATTTATCACGAGCTTTCGGCGGGCAGACTGAAGCCGAAAGCTTGTGATAAACACATAACTACCCGTTGACGGCTGCAGTCTGGCAGCCGGAAGTGCGTGATAAATAAATATTTCCAACCAGAGAACGTCTCCAGAATTATTATCAACAAATATGTTTCAGAAAAAGCACGAAATGCTGTCATAGGGCTGAAAAAATACAAAAATGTTCTGGGTAAGAGACACGAAACTTTCACCAACAACCACCTGCCATTTCTCCACACTCGGTATACTGTGGTTCCGTTTTTAGAAGCCTCTCCCTCACTGACGAATTCTTAAAAAACAAGAGACTTAAAATGCAGGAACCGCTGCAGGCTAAATATAAGACAAGTTCTTAAAAGCCCTGCTTTAGCTGAGGAAGAACACATGTTCTAAGGACAGGTGTAGAATACGTAGGTCTTGTGGTCATTCATTTCTTACGATTTTGAAATGTGAGAAACAATTTTTCATTTTTAAAAAAAATGGAATTTTCATTTTCAGTTCTTAAGTCATCAGAATGAGTGTTCATTTAAGGAATAAATATAAATTAGTGGTATGCAATGAGTGGTGTCGCGTCGCCCGTAGCACGCAAACAGAATACCATTGTTATCTAAACATCTTTGCGATATTAAACAGTTTTTTTAAACGTTTGAATATTTTTGTCAAAGATTTAACACGCCTAGCTACTGGGCTGCCTATGAGTGCATGAAGATAAATTGTCTCAATATCCGATAGCTCCATCACAAAAATGACACCTACGTCTTTATGCCAAACTATCGGCAGAATGCCTATTATACTCAGGTAAACCAAACTGTTAAGTGAACTGTAAATTTCCCTTCAAAATATAGCTAGCTCGTGGAAATTAAATGGAATGAACTTATATAGAATTCGGACATTAAACGACGGAAAACTCATTCTGATGATTCAAAAATTAAAAATGGATAAAACAACTTGTCAAAAAAATAAATCGATTCTCATATTTCAAAATCGTAAAAAAATGAATGATCCTAAAAATCGCAATTATAATATTATACAGCCAACAGTTTTCCAATTGAGGAAACAAATAATTTAAAACATTAAAACGGGAAATCGGAAACACTATTGCTTTTGACTATAGCAATTTCAACTGTTAAGAACCATGTAACTCGGTCTGACTTCTCACTAAATGCCGACTATAGCTACATGTGCCACTTCGACCTAAGTTCAAAATGAATGGTTCTTTTATCCGAGTTTTTACTGAATTTAGTATCATCATATTACAATATGTAGATAGGAAAATATCCTCATCTAAATAACGTATTTACTTCCCTCTATGTGCCTATTTAAATTACCAAAAAATCCAGTTTTGCAAACTGTATTTGACGTCCGTGGTGTTTGTTGTTAATTCGTAGCGCAAGTAGCTAAAACACGGTTAGTTAGAAACTGCAAAAAACAACGTTAAAAGGATATGGTTTTGATCCAATCGACACTTTTCTGCTTAACAAGACAACAAGGTAGTATAAGGTCAACAGATTAAGATTATTTATTTTCCCGATCATTTTACGATATTAAGTTGCCTGAAATTTGCTCTTTCCGCAGCTACAACTTTTACCTGGCAAAAACATTTTGTGTAAATATATTTCAGGCTTGACACGAACTCCACATGTTTCATTCACTGCAGTTAAATTAGCTTGCTTTCCTAACATTTTGGCTAGTTGTGTTTGGTTTGAGAATTATCATCACTCCTCAGTTTCGAATTGAATTTTCAGATGCACGTCAGCTATATTTTAAGAGCGCATTAAAAATTGCTTGCACAAGAAGTGAAAAGTTTAAAACGCAATTTAAAATTCTGGACTTCATGCATGATTTCATGCATGATTGATTTTATGCATGATTGATTCATGCCGCACACGAGAGCAAACGCCTCGCGTGGTAGGCACTCCAAAAAGGGTAATATGGCAAAAACTTCCAAGTCCTGAATAAAAAATTTGTATCCTGTCTATTTCGTCATAAGTTCAGTTCATCAACATGAACTGATATATTTAAAAAACGAAGACAGATACTTAATAAGGGCATAAAGTTCGATGATAAAATTATGTTTTGAATGCACAAATTAGGGAATGCGTTTTTGTTAAGACCCGGACCGAAGAGTTTTCTCATCCGGACCGAAGCGGGCAGTAAATAACGTATTTCTAATTTAGCAGATGTAAAATTAAATTCATTAAAATTCCAGTGTTGCATGCGAATTGAATTTGAAATCAATGCGGTTGTGTAATTAAAGCGAGGCTGACAAAAATTGAAATGCTGAAAGATAAACACGAATACAGGAACCTCGAGAAAACTGGCAAGAAAGACACAAAATAAATATAGTTTCAGTAAAAATATACATGCATTTTCAAGGATATGCTATAAAAAAAGCATATAACAATGAAGAGTTTCGGCCTTGCGTTTCGGCGTAGACTAATTCAATGTTGCTTCAACAATAACAGGTATGAACCTATATCGACACAGCAAGTGAACAATAGTTTATTTAACTTGCCTGTCAAAAACACGTAAATAAGTGAATCTGTTTTTATTTAATCAATTATTTTCTGCTCAAAGAGAAAAGATTTACTAATCAAAGAGAAAGGTGTGATGTTTTAAATTTTGCATTTTCAAAATATTGTCAATCCAGGTATACATCGTGCTAAGCATGAGGTGTTTAGAGCTGGAAGCAATTCATTTTCATATTTGTCTCACTATCGTTAGGCTAAGTTTTAAAAATTTTTGGGTAAATTTTAAACTCGTCCGTTTTGGCGCGAAAAGCTGCCATTTTCCTTTCGTAGGACCGCTGAACATGTTTCCTCACACTATAATCCACAAACCACGAACTTGAACCCTTGTATTTTTAATGACTTAATATTTCTGTCATCGAATTATTTCTCACTCATCCCTTTTCCTTTTAGTGGCAAAGGATATTAAAGTTGCTGCAAAGAAACAATGATGAATGGTTTAAACGTAGTTGAAAATATTGAATAGCATGCACTTGTAAGCAGAGTTAATTTTTGTGATCAAATAAAAACATTCTTCAGTCAACAAAAATGTCTAATCATCTTGTCCAAATCTTATGATAAATAATTTTTTGCCATTCTTACGCAAGAATGTCTAAATCCAACTTTCCTTCACAAAAAAAACACAGCACCAAACACGTTCCCCAGAGCAGGAATGACATGCGACGAGGCCAAGATCTAGAATTCTAGAGTGTGAGTGAAGAATGCACTGTATGGAGAATGAAGATATGTAAAAGTATGTAGCTAAGTCAATTTATATGAGACAGACGTTCAGTGAGACATAATAATGCCACTTGAACTATGTGTTTGCCATTCATTACGAATAAATTCACATTATCATTGTTTTAAACGTCAGGCGGGTTATTATTTTCAATAAATGACCATCTTCTTCAACCTATGGGTCCTTGATATTGTCATTGAAGTGGAAATCGAGTTCATGGGGGGGGGGGGGACAAATTAGACGAAAACCGGATGGCGCAAGCACGCACCGTACACATAGGGGGAACCCAGTATTTTTGCGTCTCCTTGGCTGCTTTTTCGAGTAACTCTCATGCAATGGCCTGGATGTTGGTTGTGACTCCCAACGCGCTGGGAACGGTCCCGTGGACTGATATAACATGCCTCTGGGATTATCTATTACCACACACACCCGCAAATTTACCATTCGTGCGCCAGGTTTAGGTTTTGTGGCACACACACTGGAGACATCGTCACATTTGCGGGAACTAGCCCGGAACATTTCGTCTCTGTTCAGTGTGGGTGCGACCATCAGTGGTTCCAGTGCGCCCCAGGGATAACAGGTCAAACATACTGACTTTAAGTGGAAACGTACTGCCATTGCGTGAAAACAATACCCAATTTGGACCACACGAACAACGATAGCAGCAATCTCGATGCTAAACGCCCGTGTTTACCCCGGAGACAAAGGAATCGCCCTGAGATTAGGCTTGGTGTTTGACCGGCTCAATTTTAGCTTTTGCCCGCAGGGGGGAAATATTTTTTCCCCCTCTAAATACGTCACCGTGCCCACCTACTTGCTCCTCTTGTGTCGCTTGTTTGTTCCTGCGACTTTCACGTGTTTTCTTTTCCCAGTCTTTAGGCCTCGTGCACCTCCTTTGATGACGCGTTCACAGCGCCCTTCGTTTCCCGTCGCACGTGCGTTGGTGTTCATCTACCGCGGATGGCCCGCCGCCTTATTGCCCTCTACCTCCCCTTGCCTGGGTCGCATCAGGCAGAATCTGCGCTTTCCTCGCTTCGTTGCCATTTAGAGATCCAACGTTGTTTGTCGCTGGCGAGATCCACCAGCATGTGCCCTACTGGCAATCTATCCTCAGCGCCTACCCCAAGGGCACCGAGATTCTCTCATATATTCGCGACGGCGTGGAAAATTTTTTCTTCTTCCAGCCCTTTTCTGGTCGATTCGAGGGGCGTCGTTACAATAGTCTGTTACCTCCGCATGCTATCTTTCTTAACAGTCGCTCGTGGTGCGGTTTCGAATCGTTTATTACCACAACGCTTCTCGAACGCCTACACAATGGCTCCCTTGTCGCGCTCGGCAAGGTTGGCTCAGCTGCCTATATCATATGTTTTATCCTCGTCTACCTTGGTTATTTTATTGGTCTCAAGAAGTCTCTACTTATACCACGGCAGATCGTCCCTTATCTGGGGCTTCTGTTGGACTCCATCCAGCAGTCTTTCCTTTTACCCGAATATAAGAAACGGAATATGAGGTAGGTAGGTCAAACTTTATTTAACTACGCTAACCCATACAGCGAAGGCTGATTTCCAAACGGGGGCGTAGATTTAAATAGTTAAAAAATACAATTGATACAAATTATGGTCATACATTACATTACATTACAGTTAACAACAATTACAATACATTTACAAATACAACTAGTATATAATTATTTACAAATTAAATTAATGTTAGTACTGTTCAATATTTTTAATTAACGTAATTATTTTGTTAATTAAATAATTAATTAATTGGCCAGGTGTTGTATACATGAATTAAACGAAGCAAGAGTGTGTTTGTTTCTTGCTTCATCAGAAAGGCTGTTCCACAATTTCGCTCCTCTATAACTAAGACTTTTTTTAAGATATTCAGTCTTAGGTTTGGGCAAAAAGAGTTTGGTGGAAGAGCCTCGCATATTATAGTAATAAGAGGAAGACGTCCTTTGAAAAATATTGGTTAGTCGTTTTGGCGCCAGTTCGCGAGTTATTTTATACATAAGACTTGCTACGAAATGTGTTCTGCATTCACTTAAAGGTTTCCATTTCAGTTCGTAGCAAGTTCAGATTGACCGTGTTCGTTTTTACGGCCAGTAATAACTCTAGCTGCCCTATTTTGTAGTTTCTCGAGTCGATCAGAAAGTGTGGCACCAATGGTTTCCCAAACTTCGCAACAATAATCTAGGTGTGGAAGTATAAGTGCATTATAAGCACAAATTAATGTATTATGATCCACACAAGATTTTAGCTTTCTGATCGCCGCAATTCCGGAAGAAATCTTCTTAGCAATTTTATCAAAATGCTTATCCCACAATAGAAACTCATCAATATGAACTCCAAGCGCTTTTGTTTCTTTGACCTTTTTAATTGATGTATCAACAACAAATACATTTGCAGCAGCAAGTAAATTATTTATGTTGTACCGAGATCCTATTAGTAGATACTCAGTTTTTACTAGATTAAGAGATAATCTATTTGCAGAAAGCCATTGTTTAACGTTGGTAAGGTCATGATTTATGGCCACCTCTACATCTTGGATTGACTTGCCAGATACAGTTAGAGTCGTATCGTCGGCAAACATTCTTGTCGACGAGTACTCTAAACTGTTAGGCAGATCATTAATGTAGATCAAGAATAAGAGTGGGCCAAAAATTGAACCTTGAGGTATACCACATGTAACCAACTTCGTGCCCGACAGAGCGCCATTAACGGAGCACATTTGGGTTCCATTCGCTAAATAAGGTCCTAAAAGGTTTAATGATGGCTTCTGTAGGCCATAAAGATCAAGTTTCGTTAAGAGGATGTCATGATTTATGGTGTCGAACGCCTTTTGTAAGTCCAGAAAAACAGCTATATTAAACAAACCACGGTCCATATTAATAAACCATTCATTTGTACTATCTAAAAGAGCAAAGGCTGTAGAATGAAACTTCCTGAAACCAAATTGACGAGGGTACAACAACTCCTGTGTAACAAGATACTCATGGAGTTGTTCGTATAATACTTTTTCAAAAAGTTTACTACAGGGAGGATAGAAATGGGGCGATAGTTGTTTATTAAGTTTCGTGGGCCGTTTTTAAATATGGGAGTGACTCTTCCTATTTTCCACTCAAAAGGATCAGTTGCACTTATAATGGCCATATTGAAAATTTTTGTCAATGAGTTTGTAATTACAGGAGCAGCAATGCGAATAATTTTAGGAGGGATTTTGTCAATTCCAGTAGATTTACGAGGATATAGAGATAACAGAAGTCTGTATACGTTCGACTCAGACACTGTTTGAAAATTAAAGCTACTGGTTGTTGTCGTGATGTAATCCTTGAAATTTCTGTCACAATTGTCGATATTTTTGGCAATATCTGGACCAATATTGGTGAAATAATTATTAAAACACTCCGCTAACTCCGTTGGATGTGAAATTTGTCCTCTCTGTGTTTCAAGACAATTTATTTCTCTACTTTCTTGCTTACGGTTTAGGATTTTATTCACAGTTTTCCATGCTTGTTGGAGATCATGTTTGACTTTCTTAAATTCTCCTTTATAATATGCTTCTTTTGTTTCTCACAATGCATCAGTTACGCGATTTCTAGAGGTTTTGTATGCGTTCCAGTAATTTTCGGATTTATGTCTAATAGCAAGAGATTTAAGGCGATCGCGTTCGCGGATTTGTTTTTTAATTGTACTAGTGAGCCAAGGAACATTTGGTTTACTTTTAACTCTCTTTTCCCTGATTGGAGCATGCCTATCAAGAACTTGTACGAAAAGTGTTTTCCATGTGTCCCACATTTTATCAACGCAGAGATTGTTATCTAATAATTCCCATTCCTGACCACGCAGGTCAGCTTGAAAACTCTCAGCATTAAAATATTTCAAATTACGAATTTCAACTTTCTTGTGACTGTTTTGTTTGCGCCGGATATTTATTTTACGAACAACGAAGATCATGTAATGATCACTAATGGCAATCGGTATTAATTGTGATGTTATTAACTTAGTTGGAGTGGGAGTAAGACAAACGTCTATTAGGGAGGATGAGGTCGTGGTCACACGGGTGGGTGTGTTTATCGTTTGCGCTGATTGATATAATTCCATGATTGAATTTAAATTCTTTGTGGCATTGTTTGAGGTATCAAGCATGTTAGAATTTAAGTCACCAAGTATGTAAAATTCCTTATTTTCATCATCTATTGTTTTTACTAATTGCTCAATTGTGGCAAAAGAGTCAACAGAAGCACTTGGAGGTCTGTAAATAGTACCGACAATAAATGGTGCAGTGAAAGGTTTGCAAATCTCAACACATATAGCTTCGAGATTATCTCTAGTCGGATCCTTACCTTATTGGAGGATATTCCGGGCAAAAAACGGGTCTCCCGCAAGGTGTTGTAAAAATTTGGCGGAGAGGCATTGTCCTTGACGTTCGCCGTTCCCGGAGCACGTTTTTATACCTCGGTTATTTTCCAAGCTGTTTCTCGCGCCACCCGTACTGGTCGCCCCATTCCTCTCTTTGGTGATATGCTCGAAGAACTTCAAACATGGCGTTTCTTGCACTCTTGGAACGGTTTTGTACCCTGGCGTCCAGAGTTCCATGCCCGTCTCACCCTCTTCTCGGATGCTTCGAATACCGGTTGGGTGCGGTGTCTTCAGTCATCCCGATCACCCTTCCAACTTGCGTGGTCTTTGGTCAGTCTCAGAGCGTGAATCCGCCATCCTTATCCGTGAGGCTCGTGTTCTCTTGAATACGCTCACAGCTGCCGTCGCTACAATAAAAAATGCGCGCGTTGACTGATAACCAGGCACTCGTGCACTCTTGGAATCGTTCCATCTCCCGTAATCCGCAGCTGTTGGCCATTTTGAATGCTCTTTTCGACCTTACCTTAATCCACAACCTTCACCTCACTTTATATTATATCCCGTCCAAGGACAGCCCTGCCGATTCCTCATCCCGCGTGCTCTCTGATTTGGATTGCACCTTACACCCACGCGTCTGGCATCGTATTCAGACGGCTTTTGGCCCCCACACCGTTGATCTTATGGCCATCCCGACCAACGTATTATGGGACCTGTCGGGCCACCCACTCAAATTCTTTTCACCATTTCCGACTGTGGAATCGGCTGGCGCAAATGTATTCTCCCAATCTTTAGTAGGCGAGAATATTTACGCCCCCCCCCCTTGTTTTAATTGGTCCCCTCCTAAAGTACCTCCATACTCAGTACTGCCCATTTTCCATTGTCGTTCCTGATTTATGTCCCCGTCGTTATTGGGAGCCTCTCTTGCAAAATTGGTCTGCCGCATCCTTTCTCCTTGGACAGAAAGGTGATCGCGATATTATTTTATTCCCCTCGAAGTCTAATGGCGGTTTTCAAACAAGGCCTCTCCAATGGGACCTTTGGGTGTTTCGTGTTTCACAGTTCTAAACGTTTATTGTATGCATTTTACGTAGGTTTCCAATGGAGTGCCGCGTGTGTGGAAACCTGCCGAGTCGTGTCCCGACTGCCGTTATCCAGACGATGCAGGTTTCCAGTTTTGTCAACGATGTGGATTTCGCACGCCAGCCATCCTTCCGTCTTCCGCTGAACGCGTCTCCCTGGATATGCCCGCGATCGATGCCCGGTTCCATTCTCTCCGCGCCCACCACAAGAGCAAGCCCTACCAGCGTCAAAAATCCAAACTTCAGCTTGAACTCGAACGGTTTATGGCGTCCCTCCCGCAACCCAAGACCTTGTTATCAGGGTCCCCCAGGAACTCGTCCGTTTCCTGATCTGGAAGGATAATTCGGGGAAAACCAAAATACACGTTAATCATTGTCCTGCTTTTGGTTCCCGTAGTACAACCAACAGTTGCTCCTGTCCTAGGTACACGCCTTGCGGCTGCCACTGTTGAGAATTTCGTCGTGGAAATGAAATCTAACTTTGCCTACCTGGTCCCCTCCGGTGGAAATCTGTCTGCTCTTGAACAGAGCAATCCCATCAGTCATCCGGTCTTAAAAGATTACTTGCGTTCCATACGAGAGGAGCAAGCTCAAGCCCCCGTTTCCCCGAAGCAAGCCGCACCTTTGGCGTTCGGTGGCGTTCTGAGTATTGGAGGACGAAACGCGTGTTAAAGCTAAAATGAATTATTAGTAAACCTATTTTGTTACTGTGTGTGTTTGGTAATATGTCGTCGTTCAGCGCGTCTGAAAATTTTGACCCAATCTTAACTTCCTCAATCGAAGGTATTGCGCGGGGAAGCGGGCAGTGAGAATATATAACTATTCTCACTGGGAGCTTTCCCGCATAAGACCGAGAAAACTAGTTATTAATTCATGACGTGCAAGCTAATTAACACATAATCATCACATCATAGTGGGAGGTTATAAAATGGCCAAAATCCCGACTTTTTCAACATTTTGCCTTCCGAAACCCAGAAAGACGTTCAAGAGTCGCGACCGGCCACCTCCCCTCGGGTTCATCTAATTGTCCGGCCATGTGGTCTTTCATGGCTACATTATATACCACAAATATTGTAAACAGTTAATAAATATACTCTACTTAAAGGACATGTACGGTACATAGTTGCAATATTCCAACCTATAACTAAACTATACATGTCGTAAACTTTAATATTATTAATTCATGTTGAGTTAAAATTGCAAAATATAATAGATATTTGATTTCCAAAAGAACCACAGCCCACTGGGGGTAGAAACACACAATTTTCAATAAGCTATAATCCTATAAATTTAATACCTTTTTACCCTTGTAAGTGAAATTGTCTTGTTTTGTATCTTGTCAACACTTCTTTATTTAGCTTGCATTTTATTTAAACTGTTTCAATCTCGTGCTTTCTTCATGCTACAAACATGTTTAATAATATGTTTGATATCTATAATTTCTATATCCCAGTGCTATATCGAGATTCCAGAAACAGTATCGTTACGCATTCGGAAACTGTCGGCGTAATGGCGTAATGTTTAATTTACATGAAGTATATCGTATATAAATGGTAGGAATTCTAAATTATTTTTAAAATTAAACAAAATGATACTAAACAAATGGCGTACTACATCGTGATCCATCAAATAAATATATTTAAATTTAATTGTCAAGTATTCTGCAAACAAACAACAACAAAGATTGCATGGTATGTACGATGTAATCATTGTTTTACTGTTTATTTTATATACAGGTCTGGAAATATTAGTAGATGAGAGTTGCTAAACTTGAAAATCTCGCTCATAACCTCGCGTATATGTTTTCTATTTGTAGCCAATATAATTATAATTAATTAACTAGGAGCTAGAGTAAAACCATGCACATGTCGAAGTACAACCATACAATGCAGTGCTCGATCTACATGCAACGGTGCACAAATTGCACGATGACCTTATTATATAAATCAACACTCGATCGTACTCATGCATTGATCGACTCTCATAGGCTTTGAGAAACCATGTATATATTAGAGAGTTTAAGTTCGACTTCCAATACCAATACCGATACCGATGTTTTCACTTCCGTTCTCGTTTTGGTACCCGGAATTTTAAAGCGTTAAGTTACACGACAGATAAAGTATACAGACATTATTCGTCACCGAAAATGTGCGGTATACTAAAAGCCGCTGAGCTAAAATTCCGACTAAAACATGACTCAGGCGATGCTAATAAACAAATAGTTTACATGTTTATCGTAAAAATTATGAAATATCGGATTTATGTGAGATTAGAGAGGTTAAGATACCCCGATTCCGGTTTACGGGTACGGGTGATATACACGTACCCGGAACCCGTAAATCGGGAAATAACTTGTAACTTAAGAAATCCAAGATATTCCGGCGTGAGAAAACCGATCACAGAATGGCAACTTTCGCTGTTCAGGTTCGCCATAAATCAGTTGAAAACTTTGATCAGCATATGTGCATTATTTATTTGGGTAAGATGTTGAAAATTTGTACTATTTAAACGACCCAAAAATAGTAACTAATAGTGGTGACTTCCAATACACTTGTCCTCGTGCTTTTTGCGAGCACAGAGCATGCGCATGATATGTTGTTAGTATCGGTATTGGTATCGGAAGTCGAACTTAAACTCTCTATTATAGAGTAATTTGTAGCCCACTAAGCCCACCCTCCATAGTCCATATAAATTGTAGCCCAAGCTCGATTTACACCAATAATAAAATTAACTAGTAACTCAATTTTGTTGCTGGTAGCGCAAGGGATCTATGGGTCTAGCTTTTAGATTCCAGAATTGTCTATAATTATTGTAAAGTCTGCATAAAGCAGAAAAAAGGCTCTGTTTTTATCAATGACCGGTGGCTATTTAGTAACCAAATATTGTCAGCCGAATCCACTTATTTGATTTATCCATGTTGTCATTACTCTTTTTCGATTGCAAATCACCTGGATTGCATAATTTGCCAGCAAAATAGCAGCAATTGATAAACTTGAGTACATAGACTGAATGTAGATCAGACAGAATGCATGCAGTGGGCGAGTTAATGCGATTTTAGGCGATTTAAGAGAAATTTGACAATTTTAAATTAACCAGCGATTTAATGCGATTTTGGACGATTTAAGGCGATTTACGCTCCCAGAGTAAGCCTCAATAAGTGAGGAGAGAAATATCAAATACAGAAATTTGATTACCACGAAAATTGCAATTTATTTAACTAAAATTGTCTGTAACAGTGTTGTAGTACCAATGTGAAAATGCTGTGCTGAGTGGTTATATTACTACCTTAAAAAATAAGCAGAAACTTGACATTTCGAGCGAAGGGCCTTCGCTCGAGACGTTGAGTTTCTGCTTATTTTTTAAATTAAGGTATTAATATATTAAATATAACCACTGAGCAGTTCTTTTAACTCCCTCACCCCCTTAATATCATGTAAATATGCTCAATCCATTAAGTTGCATTGTTGGCACCATGCCCGTGAAAAGCAGTTGGCACATGTAACAACCTCTTTCTAATATAGTATATGCCTAGTTGTGTTACACTCACTGGCCACATGACATGATCCATGATTTGATAAATAAATGAATTTATGATGTGTCTGCATATTCTCGAATTATATATATCTCTCTTGTTCATCCCCGAGCCGGCGGCGCCAAGCGCCGCGTGAGGGTACTAATTCCCCCCGGCTATTTACACCCGGGAAAACGAAAGCATTAGCGGAGTCTAAAGTTCATCAAATACCGCGGGCGTGGGTGACCAACCGTTGGTGGTCATCCTCACTGATCTCAAATATATGGCGGACTGTCATAAATAGCGGACACTGATTGGTCCAATTTCAAATTTGCATTATAACGACTGCATGACGACAGCGAAATAGCAAACATTTCTTGATTTGATGATTGATGAATTTTTTGCTCGCAATTTTGCATAATTTTGTAAATTTCAAAAGTTTTCTCATCAAGAAAGGGCGAAAGAATCGGCTAAAAGAAGGGAGCCGACGTTAACTAAGGTAAGTTTGTTGTCTTTGTTTTAAATATTGATTTTATAATGGATTTAAAACCCGACGGCCTTTGCGTACATGAAACTATGAAACAACTAAACAAGACAGCATATAATTTCAGTGTATCTTTAATATTGATTCCCTTTTTTATTATATTGAATTTTTTTTTAAAAAAAAAGAGAGTAACGTTATTTGCAAGCGAGAATTTGAAATCATTTTATTGCAAACTCAAAGTTTATCGATAAAGCCATTTAATCATAAAAGGCTGTTTAGTTTTATAAAGAACACTTTAAAACGTTTTGCGAAGCGTTTGTGGTTGAATTTTATCTTAAATTGAAGCCTATATTACGTATAATAACATACCTAACATATATATGTTGGGAAATTGATAACTTTGTAATTAAAAGTGATATTTTTAGGAGATTTGTAAGAATATTCTTAAAAAAATTATCGTGTTACCATGACAACTGTTCTAGATACTTCATGTTCGGAAAATACAATGGTTTTGTCAGCAAGGCGAGGGTTTCTGCATGCATGTATTTTCTAGTATTCAAATAAACGAACTGTGAACAACAATTACAATTCAAATACAGTAGCCAACCAAGACTTTGCAGTAGTGAAGCAAGTTGATGGACGGGCGGCATACGTGACCGACACAACTCATCACCAGAGCTGGCAGAGCATCCCCCCCCCCTATCAGATCATACTAGAAACTTACAGTTAATATATATATATACTGTATATAGTTTAATAATTGGAATTGGGTGGTTGCTGTGTAATTTAACAATAGCAAAACACTAGCTATCACTGGGAAGTTTCCTCAGTGACTGTTTGTATGGTTATAACTTACATGGAAATTTGCCTTGCAAAATTGATGGATTTTACCCATATGTACAAATATTTTGCCTGTGAACTTTGGCAAGCAAAACTATTAGAATACTATTATTAAATCCCAGTTGTCTTTTCTGTTCGTTTATGGCTTTTCCCTTATATATGTCTAGGTATTACTCACACCCATTTGTATATAAAACAGGGCCATTTAATATTATCTAAGACACTCAAGTTTGAAAACTTTGTCCAAGGGTAATTGCACAGTGTATTCCACAATATAAAATAATCTCTTTGTTTAAAATACTTTTATTAATGATTTCCTTCCATACAAGCGTATTAAAACAAGACAAGAGGTATATATTTAACTGATACCGACGGCACAGTTACAGATGTCAACAGTTGAATTTAAATTTAATATATGGACAATTTTAGCTCGTTCCTTTTCGTGTTATATAATTTCGAATGAATCACTGCAATTTCAGCTTTAATATTATGATATAAAGTGTCGTCAACAATTTGAGAAGAAATTTGTATATGCCAACGATAAACGTTCAATTGACACCCTGTCTTGACATGAATCGATGACAACGTGAATTCGCGGCTCTGGTTAAGTCACTCGTTGAGTCGTTGCCTCTAAATAATCCCAGAAAATCGCTGCTTCGGCTCACGCTAACGTTCTCAGCTCCTTAGTCAAAGTTCCCTGTGTATTTACAATGTTAAAAAGCAGTATTATTCGTTAACTTCACAGTTATTCGTCTCAGCTTAAGCCATCGTGTTGAAAACAAAAACTTCTCCACTCCTTGCTGTAAGCCTTTCCTACTCCCCCTACGTTTGCGTTTG